ATGATATATATGCATGCATGCATGCACACAAAACACTAATCTGAAAAACTAGAAACATTCACTATTCAAATCCCACAGGGACAACAGTGTACCACTTGTTCTAATTACATTTTGTTCTACCATTAAACTAAATTAATGACTTTTTACTGTAACTTTCTGGTTGCTCTTTTCTTCTTCCTGTCAGTTTTTGCCTTTAGTGCCATCTTGTCACAACACATAACTGTTTTATTCTTTAAAAACACTTCTGTGCAGCAAAGATAAATTGAGTTAGACTCATAAGATTAAAATAAAATTAATTATTTCCACCTTTTGCTCCTGTCTGTCAAACCACAAAGATGTCATTAAATATATAAATGTAAAAGGTTGTCGCTGCAGAATCAAAGATATTAACCTTATGGTTGCTCATCACAAAGTATTTTAAGTTCAAACTGTGTTTAAAATCCAGTTTGTGATGAGAATATGAATACTTTGTTACTTTTTATTTCAGGGCTGCGTACTATTGGTGTGATCACTAAGTTGGACCTAATGGATGAGGGGACAGATGCTCGAGACATCCTGGAGAACAAACTACTGCCTCTGCGCAGAGGTAATGTACACACACGCACGCACGCCCAACATCATGTATGATCCTATGTGACTGCAGTCATGAACACTGGGCTGGAGATATAACTTGTAACACCTCTTTTTAGGGAAAGATCAACTAGTTAATTAGATTTTAGATTAGTTTCTAGGGAATGTTGCTTCTTTTCTTCTATTTTTTAAAGCAATCAAACATGGTCACACAAAATCTTAAATGTTTGTTTCATTGTGCAGTGTGGGCGTAAAATATGGAATTTAATTAGATTTATTTTAGATTTTAGCTGAAATGTTAAACTTTTCTATAAACACGTCTTTCAGGATCAGTTTAAATCTGTGTGCTGAAATAAGCCTAACACGTTAACTTTTATACGAGTTTATTAGTTTCATACGAGTTAAAACAAAACTAGAAAAATTGTGTTTCCTGCTTAAATGCAGCATGAATGGTAATTGCTGAATGACTTTTGCTGAAAGCAGGAAAATAAAAGCAGAAAGTTGTAGATCATCTGAAATGTGTAGAAGAAGCTGCATAGAGTAGAAGTATAGACGGAGAGGCTGAGTAGATTACAAAATATGTGAAATTAGTGCAAAAGAAAGTGAAATGCGCAGGAAAAAAGCACAAATTAGCAAAACGAAAGTAGTTTAAAAGGCTAAAAAATAGTGAAATTAGCAGATAGATGAAAAAAAGCAAAAAAAAGTTTAAATGATTCGAATCACTAAAAGCGGAAATTAGGAAGAGTAATAGAAAAAAAGCTAAAGTTAGAAAAATATTTTTAAAAGTAGCAGAAAAAGCATAAAAAAGCTGAAATTGTAACAGAAAAAAGCTGCAACAAGCTGAAATGAGCAGAAAGGAACTGAAAGTAGCCGAAGGAAGCTGAAATGAGCAGAAAGGAACTGAAAGTAGCCGAAGGAAGCTGAAATGATCACAATCAAGCTGAAAAAGCTGCAATGAGCAGTAAAATGTTTTGGGCTGCACAAAGGATGTGGAGAGCTCCAGACATTTTGAACGAGGAAAAACATGGCCAAAAAAAATTAAGTCAGTAAAACAAAAGTTAAAAATGCACAAATACCAAAAGTCAAAGCAGAAATGTCTTGACAGAGCTGAACGTTTTAAGTTTTAAGTAGTGAATAATAATAATAGTAATAATATGAATGATTTTTAAGCTTTCACACAGTTAATATGCTTAAACTTATAGCCACTTTTAAAATTTTGTCCTGAATCTTTCGAGTTAAAATTACACAAAACAAGCAAAGTAAAACCAAATGTACAAAAACTATTCTATCTATAGATTGTATACCATCTATTTTGACATTTTGTTTATATAAATCACAGTTTGGCCCACAGCTTTGACTTGCTGTGTTGGACTTTGGTTCATTTATAGCAAAACCTCGTGTTAAGTAAAAAATTAAAACCTACGTGCGTATAAATAAATAATATAGTATTATTTTCACTTGGACATTAGAAACACGGAGCTGTCATATTCAATAAGTCGTTTTTCTTTTCTTTCGGCTGCTCCCTTCTTCAGAGGTCACCACAGCGAACTAAGTCGCACGGAGACTTGGCAATTGTTTTAACGCCGGATGTCCTTCCTGACGCAACCACAGACCACCGAGCTACCACAGCGCTCTGTGTGGAGCAGAGAGCTGCTGTCTAGAGGAGCAGATGGTGGGGGTTGAGCGCCTTGCTCAAGGGCCCAGAGTGGGTCAAATGAGGGTGGAGGCAGGTGTGGATGTTTCACCAATCCCACCCAGATTTTCATGATGTCTGTACCGGGAGTTGAACCAGCGATTTTCCGATCACAGGCCCACCTTCTCTAACCGCTGCGCCACCACTCAGTCATATATGTCTGTTTATACCCAGGAGCGGTGTTGATTCTAAAGTTCATCTAAAGATTTGTTTTCATTGAAGACGGAACCGAGTTTGTTTCGTGCTGAAGCTCGATAAACTTCTGAAAGCCGACATTAGCAGTGATTCACTGACGTGGTATAATATAATAAAGTATAGATGAATAGGGTATGTATGTATGTATAGGGTGGGTAAGAGTTGTCATTCTTATCAGATTGTTTTTTAAATTTCCTATTGCTATTGTGTGAAATATTGTCATTCAAACAATTCAGGAAAGGCGTTCAATATTTTGAGGTCAAGCTTGTTGTAAATATATTCATCCCCTGCTGCGTTCATGATCAAGCCTGTCTGGCTGCATGCATATTTATCTGTTAGCAAAACTATTTCATTAATCACTGGATGTATTTTATTGAAACTCTCAGAAAGTCATCACTGGACATTTTGGAGCCAACCCAATTCAAGATGACCGTCACAACTTAACTTTAGCAAAACCTAAGAATGGCCATACACCATCATATTTACGGATACGGAGCTAAAATTTGGTGTGGTAGTAGCTGAGAGTCATATCCAACACATAGAGCAAACAGATCGTGTAAGATTAGTTTAAAACTCGGGTATGTTGGGTGGTGGACGAGCCCCAGTCCTTCAAAGAAAGCTGCTTTTTAAAGTGACAGGAGCTCCTTGCATTCTGCTGTTTGACCGTCAGCTCTTTATTCATTAGGTTACATTGGAGTGGTGAACCGCAGTCAAAAGGACATTGATGGAAAGAAGGACATCTGTGCTGCTTTGGCTGCAGAGAGAAAGTTCTTCCTGTCCCATCCTGCGTACAGACACTTGGCAGAGCGTATGGGAACTCCACACCTGCAGAAATCCCTCAATCAGGTCCAACACACACCTCATCACATTAAACATGTTACGTCACAAACAGCTCAGGCTTCAGTTAGGAAAGTCGTGAGTTCCTGCATGTTTGAACTAAACGTTGACTCATATCGACCTCTGATTTCTCTCCAGCAACTCACCAATCACATCCGCGACACGTTGCCAGGGTTACGCAGCAAGCTGCAAAGTCAGCTGTTGTCGCTGGAAAAGGAAGTAGAGGAGTACAAGAACTTTCGTCCCGATGACCCTACACGCAAAACCAAGGCCCTGCTTCAGTTCGTACTTCCTGTATTTACACAGATGCACATAAATAAAATAACATTTAACTCTGTAAATAAATACATTGGATATCTTCGATGTAAAATCTGCAGGATGGTGCAGCAGTTTGGCGTGGACTTTGAGAAGTGCATCGAAGGGTCTGGAGATCAGGTGGATACCTCCAACCTGTCTGGTGGAGCCAAAATCAACCGGATCTTTCACGAACGTTTTCCCTTCGAGCTGGTGAAGGTAGCCTTACTTCATTACGCGCTTTACTACTTACTGTACTTTTAAATTACTTTTTTCTGTTTATTTACTGTCTAAAAGATCTGTTTGAGGCGTTTCAGTCAGGGTTTAGAGCTCCCCACAACACTGGTGAAAGTTACTAATGATATTCTCGTGGCCTCTGACAATGGATTTATCTACACTGGTCCTGTGAGACCTCAGTGCTGCATTTGATACAGTTGATCATAATATTCCATTACAGAGGCTTGAATATGATGTTGGGATTACAGGAACGGCTCTAAATAGGTTTAAATCATTTTTATCCTATAGATTCTGATTTGCAAATGTAAATAATGAATCTTCTTCAATCTTCATACACAAAAGTTTATTATGGAGTTCCTCAGGGTTCAATTCTTGGACCAGTACTCTTTACCTTATATATGCTTTCATTAGGTAATGTTATGGTATAACAATTTTCATTGTTATGCTGATGATACACAGTTATATTTGTCCATGAAACCCAATGAATCCAATCAGCTACTCAGACTACAAGCATGTCTTAAAGACATAAAAACCTGCATGACCCTTAATTTTCTGCTTTTGAACACAGACAAGACAGAGGTTTTGATTTTTGGACTTGAGCATATTGGGAATAATTTTTTTCCATCTTTCGGCCTCTTTAAATGGCATTAATCTGTCCTCCAGTTCTAATGTTAAAAATCTTGGTGTTAGTTTTGATCAGGACATGTCTTAACCCCCCACATTAAAAATGTTAATAGAACCAGTAAACTGAATTGAATTAAAAAGCATTTTTGTCTGTTGACAAAAGTCTGAGTAAAAATACACATCTCAAATTGTATATTTTTCATTTACAGTACTGTTCAAATACTCTTATAAATCCTACAATCTTCTCTTTTTGTTTGTCTTCATGTTTGTCAGTAAGTATGATCAGAAATTCAAAAAAATAGATAGAATCTCGGGTGTTTTTGTTCCTTAGATGGAGTTTGATGAGAAGGAGCTGCGAAAAGAAATCAGTTATGCCATCAAGAACATCCACGGAGTCAGGCAAGTTGAACCAGCAGCTAAAAAAAAGGAAAATAAATATGTAACACGCATATATTTACCTCTTGTTTTATGCCTTTGATCAGTGTTTAAAACTACATTTCCAGAAAAGCTGTAATATTTTTCTGACATGCAGCTGAAACTTCAATCAGTGATTTGTAAATTTGACTAAAGCTTTAAATAAATATATTTTAGTGTCTTTAATGAGCAAATGCATTTTTTGCAATTTAACTACTTCTGCATATTTTGTGCTACTTTCGTCATTCATATATTAAAACAATTTAAAATATGACTTTGGGGTTTTGCAACATATTTCTCAGAATATTTAACTTATTTGAAAATCTTTTACTCACTGAAATATGTTGAGATGTTTTCAGTTCACAAACATTCAGTGTATTTGTTCTGCCGCACTGGTCCTTTCACTTTTTGTGTTTTTGATGCTACTTTTAGCTTTTATTTTACTACCATAGCTTTTAACTAATAGGCACACATGACGTGTCTTCTAGTTTTAGTTTTTAGCTAATCTTATTACTTTTAGCTTATTTTAGCTTTAATCTAGCTGTTTGCTGTTCGAGTCAGTTTGAGCTGCTTTAGCAAATTTTGGCGCAGTCCTTGCAAAAAAAAAAAGCATTTTTCTATTTTTTGGTACTTTTTATCAGTTGATCGGAGTTCTAAATAAAACAGAAAAAATATTTTTGAAAACTTTTCTGGAAATGTTTGTATTTATAACCTCCTGGCTGACTGCTGTCTTCCCATCTTCCATTGGTAATCAGTCTGCTACTCCTCATCACTTGTCCCTCACTGCCTGCCTCCCCGTGTCCCCCCCCGTCTTTGTGCTTGTTTATTTCCACGAGTCTCCTCCATGTGTGTTTTATCTGTATGTCCTTCAGGACAGGCCTGTTCACTCCTGACTTGGCGTTTGAAGCCATAGTGAAAAAGCAGATCATTAAGCTGAAAGAGCCGTGTCTGAAATGCATCGACCTGGTCATCCAGGAGCTCATCAACACAGTCAGACAGGGCACTAATAAGGTATCACTGCATGGTCACCTGTCAGAATGTCATGCCCACTCACAGATGGTCCTGCCAGGAGCTAGATCAGCTCACCACTTGTCAAAAATCTACATGTACAGAATTTAGTTCCTTCTGAAAAATCCAGTTTGTTGCAGCTTCGTGTCTTTACTGGCTGTTTGCTGGTTTTGCTGGATTTATTTAGTTGATGACCAGCTTTGTGGAGCCTATGTTGGCTAGTTAATTAGTCAGTGCTGTGTCGAGTGGTTTTTGCCTCGTTGAAATTTGGTTTCTCCACCTGTTTTCCAAAGATACCATTTGCTTAAAACAACAATGGCCGAGTGGAAATGAAGTAAAGCTGTTTGGGAAATAGATCTTGGAAACAAATCTAAAGATCCATTTTTCTTCCATACGTTTCTCGTCCATCAGTTTTCAAGCTATTTCAACAAATCGTAAATCAAAAACGTTCAGCTCTTTCAGGACAATCCTGCTATGAATTTTGGTATTGGTGCAACTTTAGCTTTTTTTAAATATTGAGCCTTTTCTGCCACTTTTTTCCTCATAGAAAATGAACTGAGCTCGTTTTCCATCCTTCAAATCTTTAGATCTGTTTACAACCTTTTACTGCTCCTTTCACATTTTGTTCTGCTTCAGCTTCTTTGTGCAAATTTAAGCTACTTTCAGCTAATTTCAGCAGTTTTTTTTCAGCTGTTTTGTGCTTTTCGTCTAACTGCTTTCTGATGCTTCTTTCAGCAAGTTTAAGCTTTTTCTGCTATTTCAGCTACCATTTAGCTGTTTTATGCTATTTTTAGCTTTTTCAGCTAATTCCACTTTTTTGCACTCATTTCAACTTTTTTCAGCCTAATTCAGCAAAAATATGCTCTCTCTACTTCCTTCTGGTACTTTAAACTTCTTTCTACATTTGTTAGCTACTTTTCATTGTTTTATGCTAATTTCAGCTTTTTTCAGGTAATTTCCACTTTTTTTCTTCTCACTTCTGCTTATTTCAGCCTAATTGGGCAAACATGTTCTTTCTGCTTTTTAATGCAATTTAAGCTTGTTCTACCCTTTCAGCTACCTTTTCGGTATATTTTAGCTCATTTCAGCTGTTTTCAGATAAAATGTGTTTTTCGTGGCAATCTCTGCTAATTTCAGCCTAATTAACTTCTTTCTGCTAATTTCAGCTCCTTTCAGCTTATTTCTGCTAGTTTGTTATTTCAGCTACAGTTTAGCTGTTTTTATGCTAATATTAGCTTTTATTCAGCTAACTCCACATTTTTTGCACTCTTCAACTTTTGTGTTGTTTCTGCTTTCTCCTGCTGCTTTACGCTTGTTCTACATTTTAAGCTACATTTCAGCATGCTTTCTATTTTCAGCTGTTTTTCAGCAAGTTCTTCTGTAATAAGCATTCACACTGCATTTTCGCAGGAAATGCAATTTCTCTAGTTGTCCATGAGTTCTACCTTTGACAAGTTCCTTCTGACTGTCAAACCCTAAGATGATAAGGTTTAAAAATAGCACATCCGTCTTTTCCTGGTGTTTAATTGAACTTGTGATCAGCTGTTGGAGACCAGCTCAAGCTGCATTTTTCAGTTGGAACCACAGTTAGTCCCGTCCACTCATCCACACTCGTGTGGGTGGAGTTAACGTGCCTGGCTGTGCTGCGGTGCGTCTGTTAGAGGCTCAGACGTTCCTGTAAAGGTTCAGAACAAAACAAGCTGCAGGCCTGCTTTGAACTGCTGTAAAACTAAACGCGTGCTACATGACAGCCGCTCTGTGAGGCTGTGCTTATAAGAAGCAACACTTGGCTAAATGTTCTTCCCCAGCATGCTCTCACCTGCTTTTTACAGGCTGATTAATTTTGCACTTCTAAGGATCGCCAGCCAGTTTCATGTTTATATGTGCAGAACTGTGGAAAGGTCTTGAGCTCCTGTCATGTCTTAACGGTTTCTCCGAAACAACTGATTTAAAAAAAAAAAGTTATTTTAAACTGGATTTTCTGATGGACAATCATTCTTTAGATTTTTTCTATCCAGTCTTTAATTTTCTAGATCAGCCCTGTGCCTAGGCCTGTCATGATAACAAATTTTGCTGGGTGATTAATTCTCAGAAATTATTGCGATAACTGATAATATTGTTTGAAATTTGACAATAATTAGCAATTATTGTCAAATTTAAGAAGAAATGTTAAATTTATTTTACATGTAGTGCCTCTTTTTGACCACTGGATGGCAGTATAAGACTGTTTGATCCGAAGGATGGATAGTGAGGGAGTGAGCAGCGTGTCTCTAAGAAAAATGGGAGGGAGGCCCCTTGACGTGACTTGACGTCTCTCCTTCCTTTTTTTCGGTTCTCAAAATGGCGGACGCTCGGTGTGATTTGAGCTCTTTAACATAGCATTTGTCACACAAAGTTTTTAATAACAAATCAGTAAACAAGTTCTCAGCTTCTTTTTGCAGAGAAAAACAACTTTTTACACGAAGGCACAGGTTTCAACTGTGAATTTTGGAGCTTCGACAAGACGGAGGTTTTTTCCTGAGGTCGGCCTGTTAGCTTAGCTCGTAGCTTAGCTGCCTTTAACGATCCAAAAACGTGATTTTGGACGGTCAAAACAGATTTTAAAGAGAAAGGGCGGGGTCAGTGAAGAGCACCGGAGTTGAACCTTTTGTCGTCCAGTGTCTTCAGTAGAAAGAGACACGAAGAAACGATAAAGTTGATAAATGAAAATGAGGTTGATAATTTTCATTTATCATGCGATTCATTGATTTACTGTTTTTCGCGACAGGCCTATCTGTGACGTCGCCACATCTCAACAACTGCACATAGGGACTGCACTTTTACGTGTGAACATTTGAAATAAAAACCTGCAGCTTGTTCCTGTTTTGAACATAAAACAACACAAAACCCAACTAACCTAATTTCTGTTTTTTTTCTTGTTTCGTATTCTTGAAAACTCTTTATTTTCCTATCTGTTCTATCCATCTTGGCCTTTTATTTTCTTGCCATCGTTTCCCCTTTTCCCCCTCACTATGACCCACACTGCACCCCCCCCCCCTCCACCTCCCACAACACCTCACCACAGGACAGGCCTCTTCACCCCAGACTTGGCATTTGAGGCGATAGTGAAAAAGCAGGTCATTAAGCTGAAAGACCCCTGTCTGAAATGCGTAGACCTCGTCGTCACCGAGCTTGTCACGCTGATCAGGAAGTGCTCCGAAAAGGTAAAGATTGAGATGAAGGAGAACGAAGGATGACGATAAACAGCAAAAAGCGATGGAGAGGAGAAATACAATGAACTAACTTTCTACAGTTGATTGTTCCCCCTCACCGCCGCATTAAGGCTTCACTCTACCCCCATCCCTCTGTTTTCTTCTCCGTTACCCCACAGTCACCAATCTGAGACCCCAAAAGATCCACTCAGTTGTCTAATAAGTCCTCACCCTGCCTCCTTAATAAATCAACCACCACCCCCACACACACTTTGAAATTCTCTGTAAAAATGGCACCACCCTCAGAAGTTCCCACTCCTTTCTGTCTTTATATCCGTCTGAACTCGGAACTTTCTTTATCCCGATCTCCCTGATGTTTTTGAGGCTCACTGTTAGCTTGAGATGATGTTTTGGGTTATCTGAAATGTTGCTGATTTTTCACGCCTCTTAAGAGAAAACAGAACAAAAAGGAGTTCTGCCTAAAACCCCAGAAGACAAGAAAGCTCAAGCTGATAGGGAGCTCGGTGCATGCCAAGGTCGGGCCTCATGTTTGTGTCTGAACTGGACATCGCATGCCATTGTTCTGGTGTTGGTGCTCCACCCTGTCATCAGTAGGTGTGCAGCCTGTAGTTATTCCCATCAATCTGCAGCGGTGTGCGTGTGTGTGTTGGTGTCTGCAGCTGGACTCGTACCCGCGACTGAGAGAAGAGACGGAGAGGATTGTCACCACCCACATCAGAGAAAGAGACAGCAAGACTAAAGATCAGGTGTGTGTGTTCGTAACGAGAAGAGATGCCGTTTCTCTCGTGTGTGCGAATAATTGAAGAAGTTTTGTTTTTCAGGTGCTGCTGTTGATCGACATCGAGCTTTCCTACATCAACACTAACCACGAGGACTTCATTGGGTTTGCCAAGTAAGATCATTGGAGATCATTCAAATAAGAATAAATGTATAACGAGCTCAACAAATATAAATCTGTAGCCACCAGCTGGACTCATGATCTATTAAAGGAATCATTTAAACCTATTGAAGTGGGTTTCTGTAGAAATATTATTAACAGTTATTATCTTACCTGTTCTAGAGAGCTCCTTGAATCGTGTCAGTTCGGAAAGCTAGAGTTGAACTCTGACCGGACCGATGAGCTAACAGCTAGTCTGAGTAGGGCCAAAACCAAAGTGGCCTGTTTCCATCCTAAAACTGCTCCAGTCCCAAAACAACTGTTCATTTTGTGTTACTATTTCAACTTATATTTTTTGCTTCTTGTAAATCTTGAAAATACATCTTAAAATTATTTAAAAGGTTTTATACATAAAGATAAGTTCTAACTGCTTTTATTTTTCTAAAAATCTCCTATGATTGCTGTCCCGAACTGAAAATCTTTAGTTGTTGTTCAAGTATAACACATCAGTGTTTGTCTGTTAAATTTGACAAATATAATTATTTTTACTTGGCTTGTTCTGTTAAGAAGTAACTTTTGGATTATAGACTTTTTTTTTTAATGTATTTTTTATACTTACATTTTTACCAGCTACTTTTAAGGAAATTGTTGTATGTTTAAGGCGAAAGGCCTTCACTGCTCTCTAGTGGACAAACCGTGTAACTGCAGCACACATCTGAAACGTTGCAGTACTACTACTATTCCAGACACAATACTTTTTAAATTTTCCATTTTCGTTTTGTTTCTCTAAATATCTGAAACCTTGGTCTCTTGAAGCTTTGCAGAGATGATTTTCTAATTTTTGTTGTTAAGCTGTAAATCTTTTCTGTGCTAGAACAAAACCCAACTTAAAAACAATGAATGTAGATTAGATTGTAATTAATAATCTATAAGGATAATTGTACACTGTCCCAGCAATTATATATTCACAAACTAACCAAAATTTGTGGGTGCTTAGAAAAATAAATCTAAAGATTAGGAGAAATCCAACCAACTCTGGGAAGTTTCTCTGGATTGACCTTTCGTCGCCACTAAACCAGAACAAAAGTCTAATTTTCAACTGAGGGGGGATTTTCAAAAGAGCTCACCTAAGCTACTGTCTACTGATCAGTGATTTGATATTTATGGGTGCTGCAAAATAAAATAGTCAAGGTTTGACAAAGATTAAAGATATTTCACTTCAGTATGAGGAGGAAACACTTCAGTGAAACGGTTAATAACCTTTACAGCATGCAGATCGTAAAGGTTTTCCTCCTGAATGGACTTTTTATGACTCAAATCAGAGTTTTTTGTGACTTTATTGAACTTGTCTCCTGCAGTGCTCAGCAAAGAACCGCTGCCAACGCCACCAAGAAAAGAGTCATGCCCAACCAGGTGAATAAAGTGTTCTCTGTCCTCTCACCACTGCTCACAGTTTTACACTGTTGTCTCAGCCCGCCTCGCCCATATTTACAGTGTGAACGTTTATCAAGCATCCACACTGTTGTGATCCATTTTTCTTTCGTACGTTTTTCAGCGTCTTTCTTGTTCCACAATTTTTGTGCGATTTCAACAAATCATATATCAGAAATGTTCGGCTCTTTCAGGATAATAATAGAGTTTTGGTATTGGTGCGACTTTAGCTTTTTGAAATGTTGAACCTTTTCTGCCACTTTTTAATCTCATTGAAAATGAATTGAGCTCATTTTACATCTGTCAAATCTTTAGATCTGTTCACAACCTTTGACTGCTCATTTCACATTTTGTTCTGGTTCAGCTTCTTTCAGCTTCCTTGTGCAAATTTAAACTTTTTTCAGCTACTTTCTGCTGTTTCCTCAGTTGTTTTGTGCTCCTTTTAGGTTTCTGCTAATTACAACATTTTTGTGCTTCTTGTAACTTTTTTCTGCTAATTTCAGCTTGTTATGCTCCTTTCAGCTTATTTCTGAAAGTTTCAGCTTTTTTCTTCTATTTCAGCTGCTATTTAGCTGCTTTGATGCTAATTTTAGCTTTTTTTGGCTAATTCCACATTTTTTGCATACATTTAAACTTTTTCAGCCTAATTCAGCAAAAATTGTGCTCTCTCAACTTCCTTCTGGTAACTTAAGGTTCTTTATGATTTTTTAGCTACTTTTCTGCTTTTTTTTCCAGATAATTTCACTTTCTTGTGCTCATTTCTGCTTCGTTCAACTTTATTTGGTAAACGTGTTCTTTCTGCGTTCTTCTGCTAATTTAAGAACGTTTTAACTTTTCAGCTACCTTTTTAGCATTTTTTTAGCTACGTAATTTCAGCTGATTTCAGATAAATTCTATTTTTTTGTGGTAATTTCTGCTACTTTCAGCCTAATTAACTTCTTTATGCCGACTTCAGCTTGTTAAGCTCGTTTCAGATTTTTTTCTGCTATTTCAGCTACTATTTAGCTATTTTTTGCCATTTTTATCGATTTCAGCTAATTCCACATTTTTGGAGCTCCTTTCAGCTCTTTCTGCTTCCTTCTGTTAGTTTAAGCATTTTCAGCTATTTTTCAGTTATTTTTTTTGCTTATTTCAGCCTTTTTTTTTTTAGCTATTTTCCTATTTTTTACGCTCAGTTCTGCTTATTTAAACCTAGTTCAGCAAATATATGTTCTTCTTTCTTCTGCTAAAGTAGGCGTAGTCTTTCATTTCAGCATGTTTTAGCTAATTTCAGCAGTTTTTCAGCAGGCTCTTCTGCAATAATGTGGTGCATATGATAAATAAAGAAACTTTGACTTTTGACTTTGAATGAGCATTCACTGCATTTTCACAGGAAATGCAATTCATCTAGTTAGCTTTACATTTGTGTGTTGTCCCCTCCCGTCTTCATTATTTTCTGATCTTCAGCTCCTCTTCCTCCCCTGAAATGGTCAGGGATAGATTCTTGTAAGCACCGTGACCACTGCTTCCCCTTTAGGTAGGCGGGGGAAGCAAAGTTCAGTCAGACCACGAGTGACGAGAAGCGTGTGCCATTTGAAGGAGAAGAGGGAAGTGAGGGATCTGCTGGATCGGTTGTGAGAAATGTGACAGTAACAACAACAAAAATATTGAGTCCCTGTCAAACAAGAACCACAATCAAATATTCCATTCAAATAAAAGTATGTTTTGTTTCCTTGTTGTATGCGTCTCCTGTTTTAGTGCGTGTAGTAAAAAGGAGTGATGGTGTGATTTTTCTGAATCGTTCAGGTCATCCGCAGAGGCTGGCTCACCATCAACATCAGCATCATGAAGGGAGGATCCAAGGATTACTGGTTTGTCCTGACGGCCGAGGCGCTCTCCTGGTACAAAGACGAGGAGGTGAGTCTGTTTAAAGCAGCGGTTCCCAACCCTAGTCCCTGAGGAACACCATCCTGCATGTTTTAGTTGTTTCTCTGCTCCAACACACCTGATTCAGTGACTGAATTACTTCAAGTTCTGCAGAAGCCCGTTAATCACCTGTTCATTCAAATCAGGTGTGTCCAAGCAGGGACACACGTCAAACATACAGGATGGTGTTCCTCAAGGACCAGGGTTGGGAACCACTGATTACAGTAAAGGTGAAACCGCATGTCAAGTTTTCACTTGTACTCTGTTGGGAAGTTTTGGCAACTTTATCACAAAGTTGCTCGTTCTATCCTTCAACGAAACAGGTCTCACTTGTAAATGAGTCTTTGTGGCTCAGTGATTTATCTGTATGAATAAAGGTTGAATGAATGAATGAATCTCGTGTGTTTTTAAAGTTAACAGCTGACTCTTTTCTCAGGAAAAAGAGAAGAAGTACATGCTGCCTCTTGACAACTTGAAGCTGAGAGATGTGGAAAAAGGTTTTATGTCCAGCAAACACGTCTTCGCCATCTTCAACACAGAACAGAGGTGCGGATGTGTTGATCTTCCAACACGTCTCATGACATGCGGCTGTGCAGAAGCAACATTTTTACAGTCCAGTTTGAAGCTTTTTGTCTTTAACAACATTTCAAAGCTGAAACAGGTCACAGAAAGCTGGACTTTACATGTGTGAACTATTTTGATGCCTTTTAGTTTTTACCTAGAAGGTCAGGGAGTGAGAGACGTGTGCAGTTACCATACTGACTAAGGAGCCACTAGTTTTATAATTAAAAAAAACAATTTTATTCTTTTAACCCTTCTTCTACAGTTCATACATCAAAACTTTTTTTTTAAAGCTGACTACAGTTATGTTTAAATGTAGGGCTGTAGCTGCATTGTCATCCTTCATATTGTTCTCTGAAATGTTCTAGTTTTCCTCTGGTTCCACTAATTTGGTTGATGGGTGTTCCACAGGAACGTGTATAAAGACCTGCGTCAGATTGAACTGGCCTGTGACACTCAGGAGGACGTCGACAGCTGGAAGGCCTCCTTCCTCAGGGCCGGCGTCTACCCAGAGAAAGACCAGGTGCACAAGAGATTTCTTACTTTGTTGTTTAACAAAAGCAGATGTTTTATATTTTCACACATGTTGGATTAGTCGAATTCAGTGCTTCTCAATTATTTTCTGTTACGCCCCCCCAGGAAGAAGTAAACATTTTGCGCCCCCCCAACTCTCTGCCTCGACTGTAAATAGTATAATTTGTATATAAAATTGTTATAAGTACACCTCCGCATAACTTTGTGTCCTTATTAACATTAAAGAAAAATGAATACAGATCAACTTACAATGAAGAATAACTTTATGAACATTATATTTAGTCTGCAACAAACTAATTAAAGTGCATCAGTTTGCCTGAAAAAACTTAAATCCTTATTTAAACTGTAAACATGTTTGACCATTTGATACTGAAAAATAAAATTAAATATAATCAATAAATAATAATAAATTCAAATTGATCAGCAACATTTTAACTCAGGAGTTTTATATAAAACACTTTGACCTAAAAAAAACCCAAAAAAACAATTTGTGCTGATTTAAAAAAAAAAAAAATCAAAATGAGGAAGTCGGGATCAATGAGCACACTCCTCGATAAAACTAAAACATTTTGTCAAGGCGAAAGAGGAAAGAGGGGGCAGGTGTCGCTCTCGCTTTGAGTTTACTCTTTGTTGCATGCGTGCTGTGGGTGACGTCCAGAGCGTCCTAAAACCAGCAGCGGAGGTGTCGGAGTTAGTTATTTATCGTCTCAGCCGCAGAGGGGAGCGACACGGTTCAAGCATGGCTTCCAAAACAACAAGACAGTCGTATTTGTTCATAACTTTATTAATAAGACTGAGAGATACGAGCAAACAGCTGCCGGAACGCATTGCCCCCCCCC